AGGGTTACCCATACACTCTGCAGCTGCTTTGGTTTGCCCAGCCTGTAGCTAAGGAAATTAGGGGAAAGAACTGAAAGTACTGGGAGTGATGGGAAAGGATGAATTTGTGATTGGATGCAGCGTAGAGGGTGTGTGAGAGGGGTCTGTGGCAGCTACATGCTGGGTCACACTGTCCATGCCTTACTGTCCACAGGGAACTCAACTGAATGCCTTCCCACAGAACTTGCTCTTCCTGTGTGCCACCAGGGAAGCACTACAGTGTATTCTACTGCTCATGGACTAGGGAAAAGCCCTGCATGCCAATTAGTGCCAACAAATTACCAAGGCATCAGTAGTCAGTCTCCAGCATGCTGAACACTCCCTAGAATCTACAGCAAATCCAGGTTTCTTGTCCTTGAGTTTAGAAAAGCAGTGTATTAATGCTAAAACTGCTTCTGAGGAGGAAGCTTCCTTGGAGACAGCCTAACTTTTAAAAAACAAAACTAAAAATGAGTAAGACACAGGCTTAAGGAAATGTTTGTTGTGTGTCCATAACACTGACATCCTGACCACTCCTTTATTTTTTTTTTTTTTAAATTTTATAAATTATGTGTCTGGCTATTGAAGTACTGTAGATAGAAAGGGTTCTGCGGAGTACAAAGTGAAATTTGGGCTGCTATTCCAAAATTAGGCTGGATGAGAATTTCCTATAAATGAGGCAGCTCAAAATGTTACAGGGATTTCTTGCCAAATTTCTGATCCCCACCTTAAAATTTCTCTCCCAGCAATCACGAGATGATGAAGCAAGCTCCATAATATATTAGTTTTCTCCTAAAGGCCAGAAGGAATTGTTCTTTCCTTTGCTCAGAGATAAGAAACCAACACTATGTTTCCCAGTGCCACTATGGTCTAAACTAATGCCAGCACCATCATAAATCCTGCCCTGCCATCAGTTCCATTTCAACACAATCTGAAAGGACATAACCATTTTTTTTGTTACCATAAACTGAAAGAAAAAACACACTTCTGTGACAGGAAAAAAAATCTTGGAATCATGTCAAAGCAGAGATGGAAGAACACAGAAAAAGAGCTAAGAACTGGAATTTCTATTATGGTATAAAATAAGTAAGTTCTCCATTTTCTGCTCATGACCAGACATGAAAGGTATGCAGCAGCACTGCATGTCAGGGACATTCTTCTTAGTGAGGGACAAGTATTTGCCTGCATCCACAAGCTGCCAATTCAAGGGTTCAAAACATTTCGGGCTAAAGGAGGTACATAAGGAGGGACCTGCTGATGGACATGCTGAGAGGCTTCCTTGGTCAGCTGGGGTTTTCTGAAATGCAGGAATCCCAGCCAGACCAGCACTGCAGGACTTGATGCAACAAGGAAAGGGCTGTAATAAAAGATCAGTTAGATGTTACACTGACCTTGACATATACGGATGGAAGGAAAGACTCCAGAAACAGAGACCAGGATCCAGGTTAAGCCCAGGCTTGGTGCAGCTCATGTGGAGAAGCTTACTCCTGCCTCTCCTCCCCTCCCCTCCACAACACAGCACAGTACTGGTCAGCTCATTCTCCAGCCATCCTTATTTCAATAATATGGCAAAATGAAGATACTTACTCTTTCCTTGCATACCTGTGCTGTTTTGCTTTCTGGCTTCCTTTGAAGCACCACAGTAGCTGCACAAATCCTGCACTGAGTGTTCTGTTTTTTTCCCTTCACACAAGGTTTGTGGAGCCCAGCAGGCCTCTGTGATAGACCCAGTATTATCCAGTTCTCTACAGTTTTATATGAAGGACCATCTGGTGGTCAGCTGCCCAAATGCACATTTGCTGCCTCCTGCACCTGTTCAGTGTCATTCAGCCTCTCTCTGACAGTTGCTCTCCCATCAGAGGTCTTCCTGAGTGCAGGGATGAGAGGATGCAGTACATCTCCTGAAACAGTGGCAGTTACAGACACCTTTTTGAGATTTTTGTTCTTAAGGAGGAGTAAATCCCATTTTATCTTTAAAATGGAGATGACAATAGGACCAGAAGGTAACCACCTGTCTCTCTGAACCCTTTTACTCAAATCTCTCTGCCATTTCTCTGTATCGATGCCTGCAGTCATTCACAGGTGAGCCTGTAATGTTCCTACCAGTCAGATGTGTACTACTTTAGCATGGTATTTCTCTGTGCAAACTAAGACTTGAAACCATAAAAGTTTGCTTAGGGACTGTCCTGACATACCAGAACGTCCTGACTGGACAGACTAGACCACAACCACGTGCTCTGAAAAAAGCTGAATAATGTAACCTGACAGCTAAGTGACTTTCACAGAGGAGACCTTGAAATGAGTCTGGGTTTAAATTCCTGAAAGTTTAAAACTTTCAGGGAGACTGATATTACTTCTTAGAGACATCTTTCTCCCTCTTTGCATCTTTGTCTTCCTACAAAATCTAGATTTTGACCGAGTAATTAACTTAAATTTGAAACTTGAGTCAAATGCAACTGGAGAAGTTCCAGTTATCTTTCTTGACTGTAGGTGAGATCTTCACATACAAAAATTCCCCATATTATCAAAAGATTTCCTTCAAAGAAAGGAAGCAGAAAGAGAAACACCTGCAATTTGTGATTAATGCTACGATGTGCCCTGTTACTACTACAGAGAAACAAAGGGTACAACCTATCAAAAAAAAAACTTCAAGGATGGTAAAAAGTAAAAGTGAAATTAAATAATATGCAATTTAATGATAAGAGAGCTGTAGCTGTCATTATCAGGCTGAAAAAAAAAGCAGGGAGAATGAAACAATATGTCTGCCAGACCAAACAGCTACTGCAGTTGTGTCTGAACAAAATCATCTGGGAAAAAATCTGTCCCAAGATCACACATACACACTGCAGAACTTGTAAGTGAAAACTCTGGGGTAAAATGTAAACCAAAAACAGGATACTCCCTGAGCTAAACAACACTTGCTTGTCTGTCTTTTAAGACATGGTGAAATTTTCCCCAGCTTTCAAATGGTAGCTGGAAACACACCATAGTTTGTTCTTTAGTATCTCACAAGGAAGTCACACAGACTAAAGGTTTGCTGAGCAAATATATGACTTTTTCCTAGTCTGCCAGGTTTATTGTGATGGTAAGTCCGTCTCAGCAGCATGTCAGATAAGACTGCTTATTTGTTAGGTTGACGCACTTCACCCTTATTAGGGAAAACATCCCAACTAATTTGTAGGTTTGAGATTCTTGTTGTCACCTGAGTATAAGTTTATTCAGTGTTACCCTCCCAGCTGTTACATGCTGTAGGCATTTGCTTGGGAGGTGGATAGGCAGAAGGAATTTAAAGAACTAGCTTCAGCCTTTTTCCTCTCATTTTAAGACAATGTAACTCCCTTTTACAAGGTGTCTAAGAGCTGGTCCTGGACATCCCCTTCACTGCCACCAGTGTTTGGGAAGGGTGCAGGCAGCAAAAGCACTGCAGGTCCAGTTGCCTCACTGCAGCTCTACCCCTCTGAGGAAGGGAGTAGTTCACATTCATGATCAGGGACACCCTGGCTTCCCTTGTCACCACCAGGGTGCTGACACCTAATGCATCTTGCTTAAGGCAGCTGTTTAGGCAGCCTTTAAAGTCAGTGGGGAGGATACCCTTAAAACATCCCCATTCACCACCTGTAATGACAAACTCTCCCCATACTGAGACAAGACTACCTTTTAGAGGCATCTCCCTGAACTGCAACTAAGAGGGAAGCACAGATGGCTACATAAGTCACTGGAGTTTAAAACAACCAGTTAGGAGAGCGTAAGTAATAGTTCAATATCTGGCTTCTAGAATTAACCTGATCACCACTGCATAGCTCACTTGACTTTTGTCAGGGGCTACCATTTGAGAATTACAGCTGTGTTTTGATGGGCCATGGGTGTCAGCTTTAATATAAATTACCATATTAAGCAAGAACCTTAAAAAGCTTCTTTGAACACTCTCACCCTAAAAATGGCAACATTAAGATATGTGGTTCTTTTTTAAAGGCACAAGGCTGTAGCTGACTGGGAGATTTAATGCCTGGAAAATGCATGTCAAACACTTCCTGCTGCAAGCTTTAATTGGCACTTCTAATGCTATTTGAGGGGGAAAAAAATTCCATTCTCACAGCAAAAAAAAAAATATGCAGAGAGATTCTGAGTATTTTTGAAGAAAATACATATGGTCAGTCATTCAGCAGCTTCATTTCCAAAGGATGGGAGGCCAATATCTGCATTGGCCCTACACTTCAAAAGTCAGTAACTCCAACCTATTCTGAAAAGGTGTCAAGGAGAGACATTAAGAGAATTAAGCTCTTGAAAGCTCTGTGGAAATAAGTGGTGGAGAAAGCAGTCCAAATAACTCCTCTCATGGAGAAAAGATCTGCAGAAAGATGCCCCTTTCTGGCCTAGTAGAGATAACGTCAAACACAGGAACATGGAGAAAGGTGCTCAATCTGCAGGGGGTGTCGTTCATTCATAGACTTCAGAGCACTCATTTTAAACAGAGCTCTTGTCTCAGGATTTGCTATTTTGTAACTACGATTCAACTGCTACTGGGACACCCTTTCTGCAACAAAAGTGTTTTAGAAGATCACACATGACAATCCCTAAACAAGCAGCAATTCTGGAGCTGGAAGAGGGAGTGCAGCCATACCCACATTAGAATATAGCCTGCACATCTCAGCTGGTCTGATACGAGACACTGACCACCAGCTAAGCAAAGGTATTTTATATTGCATTTTACAAAAGCAAGAAAGTGAACACAAATGTGCATGGTTTTGATCTCCATCAGCATATGGAAACACATTTCAAACCCTTTCCTTCTGTTCTGATATATTTGATACCATGTTACACCTTGATACTCCACGAACAATAACTACTAAAACTGCTTCTTTTAAAAATGTTTTCTTCCTTTTCCTGACATTTCAGAACAAGATGGTGTGGTGTTTTTTCCATAAGAATACCAAAATAAGGGTCATAAAAAGGCATTTAATTTATCTGTCACTACAGACCACTGGAATTTGACATCATTTATTGCAGTCAACTGAAAATGTAGTAAAGATTTGTAACAACATTCTATGGTGCTTTATAAACATATGCTACCATCACAGGTAACTTTACTATGATTCTAGTATGTATCCTGTGTTTCAATTTAATAAAATCAACAGTGAAATACATGCTTTCTAACAAGGCAATATATAGCAAATATTCAATATTTTCTTTAATTGTAAATTGAAAGTTCATGTATTTTGAAATAAAGTAATTATAGTGCAATTCCTTAAAATAATAAAGACTTTGTAATTTTAATAATGTACCAAATGCATCTATGTCAAGTAGCAGAAACAAATTTAAAAGAGAAAACCTACTGCAGAAATACAGCATACAGATTTTTATTAAAGAAAATGAAACAGAGCAGCTAGCATCCTGCAGTACTACAAGAATTTGCTTACACACACAGAGCAATTTTCCTTTGTCTCACAGAAAGTTAACAGAAAATGTTAGGATATAGCCCCTGCTGCTCTTCACTCTTTATATTAAGAAGAGCTTAAAAAAAAAAAAAATCAATCAGTATTTATGATAAAAGCATACCTATGGCTGATCTAATAGCTAATGCCCCAAGCCATTTTCTTACCTAATGCTAAATTCCAATGAATTGCTAATAGTAATTATCTGGGAAGAGCAGGAAGACAGCTCCAAAAAAGTGCTGAAGTGCTGCTTTCCTACCTGCTGGCACTGCAAGAAAACAAAGGGAAATGATAATTTATATCCTAGAATACCATTGTATCATCTGTTACATTCAATCCCTGATCACTTTTGACAGGTACCACAAGATTTTGCAGCACCATAGGATTTTGTGCTTAACTGTTACTGGAGCCTAGGGCTCCTCTTTTTGGTAAATGCCAGATTGCCAGACAATGTAAGAAAGATGCCCCCTGGCATTCACTCTTTTACTCTTACATATTATTTTACTTATATGTTCAGTCTCCTATGTCTTACTGACATTCCAGAAACAAGTTAAGCAAATACTTGGTTACTGGCACCAGCCTGGGAGGTGGTAAAAAAGGCTGGAAGTTGCTCAAGACTGAAGTGGTATTCTCTCTTCCCCATGCACTAATTCCTTTTCAGCTATTTATAACATGGGTTAACAACAGCCTTTTTATTTTAGGAAAAAAATATTCAACAAAAGGGCTGTCAAGCTTAAAACAGACTGCTCATGAAGTGGTTGAGTCACCATCCCTGGAGGTATTTAAAATATGTGTAAATGTGGCACTCAAGAACATGATTTAGTGGCAGACTTGGCAGTGGTTGGACTTGATGATCTTAGGTCAGGTCTATGAAATAATTCTATATAAATCAAATAATTTCTAAAAATTATTCTGTGATTCTGTTTTTTGAAGGAAAGCAAAATCCCTGCCTTTATGAGACACACTGTCCTATTGGTACAGATGCTAGCACTCTCAGAATTATCTTCAGAATCCAGGTACTTCATGGATACTGGCATGGAGTGTCTAGGACGTGCCTGAGCTCTGACAGGAAGGGCTGCCTGCCTGTGCCTCTGACAGCAGCAGTCATTACCTGCATCAAAGAAGACAAGCAGGGGCCTGGACAGTACTTGGGTCAGCCCTTAATCACAAAGCTGAGGGAGACTGAAGATAAGCAACTGAAATGTAAGGAAAATGATGGAAAAGTGAGACCAGTTCTTCATATGCTAAATCAAAACAGTGTAAGTCTGCATCCAGGGAGGAATGTACCTGCAGTCGGCACTGAGGAAAGTAATTAGATTTGAAAATCAGGAATGCCAAGAAGTGCAACTAGGTAAACATTCATGAAGTGTGTGCTGGGAAGGGTAAAACCTGGTATGAGAAGATAATGAAGTAATGCAACAATCCATGGAGAAGATTTAGAATTTAAAAATAAAATAATTGCAGTATTTTACCGCTACTTCGTGAACTAAGATGTTAAGCCTATTAATAATGATGCAGAAAAGGCATCAGAAGCTTCCAACTAAAATTTCCACTTCCTATTTGAAAAGGTGGTGTATTGTGTAAGAAAGGATTTTCCAACACACCAGCAACTGAAAAGGCCAAACATTACTAGAAATAATTAACAAACTAAAGACAGCTGACCTAGCCTAGCTTTAGGTAGCTATATATGTCAATATATTTTGAAAAGATCTGTCACTATACAGAAGGGAAACTACAATGAATCAGATATAAATACAAACCAATTTTCCAATATCCAAGCCATGCTGCAGAATTTAAAGGTTTGAAATCTAATTACCACTAATTAACACCTTTTATGAGAAACAGGTTTTTGTTAATTTTATTTTTCTTGTCAGTGAGGTATTTGGTTGATAAACCTGTAACTGAATAGGTTCAATATTTTTGTAGGGAATCATCACAGTGAGACAAACATCCAAACTCACAACTACAGCAAGACTGTGTCTCTAACATACACACTGGATACACAACCTCAAATTTCAACAAGGAGCTCCCGCTGGCTGCCCGTCAAGTGATTTAGGGGATGCCGCTCAGATTTGTGACAATACCAACACACTCTAAAAGCTGGACAAAGCCCACACCTTTCTCTGATTCTATGACTAGAGAAGATCCATTTGTTCAGGATATCAGAAAGAATTTGCACAGAAATAGAGCACATGTTCACATTTCAATGACAACTTACTCTCATTAGTAAGTACCCACACAAGTGATAGATTTGCACAATACTACTACTCTACTACAGTACGTATGACTAGGCAAATTCTTGAATGAAGAACCAAGCTCAGTCTGACTGATATTTAGTTTGATGCCAGATAACTTAGTTTTAACACTTGCAATATTAAATCACCTAACGGAATTTGTCCCCTTTGACCATAAGGTTTCAGATAGTAAGGCTGTATTTTTCCCAAGCAGCATTTAGCCCATGTGCAAAAGGGCACCTCCACAAAAGAAAAGATAATGCAAGTAGCATGAAGAAGACAGATGATAAAGGACAGTGTTCTAGAATCGCAAACAGAGCACCTCTAAACTACTTGCAATCAAGAGCTGACCCTCTCCAAAATTAAAGTTTCCATTTCCATTGTAGTACTTACAGTCCTCAGAGAAAACACTATCCCTTCCCTACAACCAGGAAAAAACACCCAACCCACTGCAATAGGGACAGATGGAGGGTTCTTCAGTAAAAGGGCTTTTACCATGGAACCACTGTGTGAAATCAGTGACCTACTGATCTCCTCAGAGTTGGTTCTACCTTTGATGAATGGTCTCCAGGTTCATGAAATGAAAAGTTCTTTCAACACTTTTACAACACCACATAAATCTTTACATTCATGAACAAATACAAGCCCTTATGCATCTCAATAAGCACCTGACTACCAATTTCACACCACTAGACTTGCACTTATACTTGCACAGTGTAAATAGTATTAAAGATCAGGCAGACATTGAGCCACTAACAGCTCCATAATCTGAGCTGAAGCACTGTGTTTAATTACATTGCCTTATTAAGAAAATTCATCACATGAGAGAATGTTGTGGCATGACAGAAACAATAAGCTCCAGGTGAGATTTTTTTCTGTACATTATATTTTTCAGCAACTAGAAATATTTTATTAGCAATACAGTTATTTAAATATTAGAAATCTATACAACGTCCTTTTCTTTCCCAGTCTCCAAAACGTGTAGGTTCAGGGCCTCTGGGTCCACCCCTCTCTTTTGTAGTAGGATTGATTCCATCAGGGAATTCTAAAACAACAGGGAAAGTTCATTAAGATTGCTATAATGTTGACAAATAGAAAGATGCTATCATTCATGATGTTTTCCTTTTAGTTTCATTTTCAAAGACAAAATCAATTATTTTTTCTTTTGAAAGGCAACCTTACGCTAAACATTTCCCAGAGCCCTACAAAATTAATTTCAGTTTTTTTAAGATCATATATATTATGTATATATACAAATATAGATATATTATTTATTATGCAAATAAAGAAGCAACTGAATGTCCAGAGGCATTAAAGGACCACAGCTTCTCAAGTCAGAACTTGCATCATTCAGGTACACTGTATTTATGTTCACAAAATCTAAAACCCAGCTATCACTTGCTGTTTACCTCTCTAATTTTAAGTACTCTGTTTTAATTTTAGTTTGAATTTTAGTCAAGATTCTGTTAGTCTTGTACTTGACCCATCCAACCTAACCCTGAACACTTGCAGGAATTGGGCATCCACAGGTTCACTGGGCAGCCAGTTCTAATGCTTCACCACCCTTAAAGAGTTTCTTCCTAACATCTAATCCAAACCTGCCTTCCTTCAGTTTAGAACCATTGCCCCTTGTCCTGTCACCATCTCTTAGTATGGAAACTCCTTCCCTACATTTTATAAACCCCCTTAAGGTACTGAACCCACTTTAGACATCAGAAGGCCACAATTAGATCTTCCCAAAGCCTTCTCTTCTTCAGGCTGCACAGCCTCAGCTCTCTCAGCCTGTCCTGTAGGAGATGCTCTAGCCCTTTGATCACCTTTATGTCCCTCCTCTGGACCCATTCAAACAGGTGCATGCCTTTCTTGTGCTGAGGACTCCACACTGGATGCAGCACTTCAGGCAGGGTCTCATGAGGGGAGAGGGGAAGAATCACTTCCCTTGATCTGCTGGCCCTGCTGCTTTTAATACAGTCCAGGATTCAGTTTTCAGGGCTGCGATCACACACCACTGGATCACATCCAGCTTTTCATCCAACCCCCTACCCTGCTACAAAAGAGAAGCGCACTGCCAGCTCACGCTACTGTCTTAAACACCACAGAGCTTTCTGTACCTCAGCCAACATTCTTACACTACTCAGTGCACCTATACTCAGGGCCATCTCCTAAGAGTAGTTAACTCAGGCCATGAAGTCATGAAGTACTTGTGGCACAGCACCATCCTGGGCTGAGTCTCATCCTGCACTAGACTGTGGGGCTCCCAGAAACTCACAGTACCCCACATGCCCCTTGCCACGCTGGTTCTTCAGAGCTTCCCATATAGACACCTAACGTGGGACTCCCTCAGTCATAGTCCTAACACAGCCCTGGTGGGCAACATAGGTAATAAGGTGCAGCGTTGAAAACGAGTAAAGACAACAACAGAAATTCTGGACAGCAGACAAAAAGAAAAGTGCTGGAGGAAACTCATACAGCTACAGGTCTACAGGAAGACATACCGGGATACCTGTTTCATAACTGACGCCAACCAGGAAAAGAAATGTCAGTATCTGAGCACCTCTGGCAGTACAAAGGGTGCAAAGGCACCTGATACTATTTTGTACATGTCATCATCCCAATATCAAAGCACTACTCGTGCTGAAAGCAGATGCAAATGCTCAAAAGATTTCTCCACAATAACTACAGAGCAGTGGAAATTCTAAATCCAGCTTCAGCTCCTAGTTTTTTCCTAATAATACAAAATGCAGTTTGCAAACTATTGCTGGTGTTCCACATAAAAAACACCAGGTGCCACTAAAGAGACCTTGAGTATTGCTCCAAACCTGGAATACCTAAGCAAATAACAAAAGATATTGATTATGCATGTTTTCAATGAAGCAGTGATAGCATTAATTTTCCTGGGAATAAAAAGATGAGAATTAAGCAGCTGCTTACACAGAAACTCCAATTGTGAGTTAGCTCTCAAGTGAGCCACAATCGGAAATTGTGTGGAGATGATTCTACAATACAAGAATAATACAACAATACAAGGACAAACTTGCAGAGAAATTTATGAAAGAAGGAGAAGCTGAAGTAGCCTTTCACCATGATGCAGCTTTCCCAAAGACTGTTGTGGCCTCAGGGTAATACACTCTGGAGATGGAGACCTTTTTTTAGCTCTGCTGCACAAGAAGTGCCATTTTAGCCTGTATGAAAAGAGGGGACTTTTGTTAAAGAGTATATGAGAATTTTAGATATGAAATTAAGGATTCTAAGGTGGAAGAACACGATCAGTTTCTTAAATGAACGCCAGGAATAATTAGTCTTTATGCTGCTATCATTCAACTCTGGTGGTCTTATGGAATTAAGGAAGGGGCACATCCTCATGGACTGAACTATGCATGGCACTGGCTTGCTTGGATGTTGAATATGGAACCCCTGACAGATGTGACAGCTATGCTACTTTTTTATTTTCTGGATGTGAGTGGCAATGCTCTCATGAGACAGTATCACATCCAGTTCTGGAAAATTACTTTATCCAAGTTTATCCAAGGCTACATCCCAAGAACTGAAGCAATTTCAAGCACTGTACAGAAGGGCATGTTAATGTGTTTGAAGGATTTCATGAAGTACCGTCTACGGATGAAGGAAATTCTGCTTCCAATAGGCACTCTGTTGCCTTCCTTTTGGAGACTATAGATAAGTCTGTATCTCTAATCCCCAGGATGCTAGTGCTTTCAGACTTGGCTTCCTGTTTACATGGTAAGGCAGATATATTCTGTATATAGAAGAATGAGAAGAAAGTATTTCATCAACTTGTTAATGCTTAATTCATGAAGATGTTGGGCAGCAGAAACTTGTGTTTAATTTGCTGCAAATAGTTAAGTTATTCTTTGCATTGCCTCTTTAAAAGTTCTTGTATCATAAATACCTGTTAAAAAAAAACAAAAACAAAACCAAAAAACCCCAAACCCCACCCAGAGTACTGTGTTCAGCTGTGGAGTTTCCAACACAAAAAAGAGATGAACCTGTTGGAACAAGTCCAGAGAAGGCCACCAAAACAATCACAGGACTGGTGCACCTCTCCTGTTAAGACAGACTGAGAGAAGACAGAGAATTTGGGTTCTTCAGCCTGCAGAAGAGAAGGCTTTGGGAAGACCCTTTAGAAGCCTTCCAGTACCTGAAGAGGGCCTGTAAAAAAGCTGGAGAGAGTCTTTTAACAAGGACATGTAGTGACAAGACAAGGGAGATTGGCTTTAAAATAAAAGAGGGTAGGCTGTTATTACTGTGAGGATGGTGAGGCACTGTAACAAGTTGCTCAGAGAGGCTGTGGATGCCCTGGAAATGTTCAAGGAAATGCTAGACTGGGCTCTGAGCAGCCTGTTCTAGTGGAAGGCACCCCTGGTACTAAGTCAGGATGCTCAGGCAAATTTGCTTATCTTCAAGAGCAGAGGAAGCCCAGGTTCTCCGTGTGACTTCCTACAATGTTTGACCACAGCTGTTCTGAAGGTTTTCCTCCCCTGGTGCACCATTGTGCCACTTGTGCCCATTGCCCTGCCTCTCTGATTTTTTTTTTTTCAGAACCAGTAAGCTTAGAAAATGATTCTGAAGAGTGCTGAATGCCTGTCACTTCCTTAAACTGACATCAGCACAGCATCTTGCAGTCTTGCCTTTAAAACACAGCTCCCAGTTTTGTAAAACGTTACTTACTTTCCAGGGGTTCCTTCTCCATACTGGACTCTTCTGGTTCATCAAACCGCCCTACTGGTAACTTTGGTTTCTTTAGGGGCTGCTTAACAGGTTCAGATCTTCCTCCTGGCTTAGAGCTGGAGGTGCTTCGTGAGTGGCAAAGAAGTGAGGACTCTATCAAGCAAACAGACGTGTAGCATAAATGTATGAGTTTAACACTGAGTAATGCTGTGACTGTCCAGTGCACCTCTGAAAAAAAAAACTACTTCAGGGATGAGGGAGAGGAAGGCAGAAAAACAAACTCTAAAAATTATTTAACATTCAACTCATGAACACCTAAGAAATCAGCACAGATAATTATTTTTGGCCCTAGAAACATATGTAGGCAAAATTGTGCTAGTTGTATAACTCAGTTCACATTAACACTGTATTTTAAACTGCTTGAACTTAACTTTGCTGTTATATTCTTGTATTTTAGACTCTTAAACAGTAATTATGCTAGCATAGACCAGTACAGTCTGTTTTCCAGGAGAAATCCTAACCTCCCCCAAGAAACCTGCTGATTTCCAAGTCTTGGCTCATTTCCACCAGCTTTTTAGTCAGAAGAAGCTTCTGCTTTCCCTAAGGAAAGTTTAAAAAAATAAAACGTTCCCTTAGTAACAGGTTTTCCAGAATGTCGGCAGAAGATAGCTGGGCTTCCCTTAGGATGGTAAAATAATTCAGCTGGTAGTCAAAAGCAGGAAAAAATTTGAGCATGTTTAAGTTCAATTATGTAACTGCATGCAAATGCTTTCATTAAAAGCATTAACTTTTTTCCTTTAAAGTCCTACTAACATTTTGGTTAAAAAAGCCAAATGTCTACAGTAAGCACAAACTATCCACTAAAAATATTTTGGCTGTAGACAGGTGCCTAAAGCAGTTCTGACATTTCTTGAGAAGCAAGATTCAAACAGAAATTCTCCCTGTACCAGCTGGGTGCAATGTACCTGAAAGAACTATTATGCTACTTTCCTAAGGAGATTGAATCATGAAGCCTTGTCAAGCCCTGTCAGTGTGACTCACCTAAATATACACCAACTAACAACTCACTCCCAGAATCAGCATATTCATTCATTTTAAAATACCACACCCCTAATATCAAACCCTACATACACACAAACTGTATTATGTCTGCCAACTGCTGCCAATGTCCCAAAGGAGTAAAGCATGGTGTAAAACAAACTATTAACAGTAAAGGATCCAATCTGTTGCAATTGGGTCTTTCTACTCCTGCCAAGCTTCTTGTCATTTTTCAGTAATCTAGAATAGAAAAGCTAGCTACAAAATTAAATTATAGCTGGTATTCTAGTCCAAATTAAAATAAAAATCAGATTAAGGTACTGGTATGAAGTTGATTTATCTTGGTCACTAGAGAAGGGGCAAAACCCATTTTCCTTGATAGATTTACTTGGTATTCTTGACTAAAATGCACTCTTCTTGACAGAGAGGTGACAAAAGTTCAACATGAAACATCTCTGAAAAAGATGAGATGAACTATCAACATTAGTAAAACACATTGCACAAACTTGATTCCCTCCTCTTTTACAAAGGCCTCCCATTTATTAATTACATAACTAAACTTGAAAATACCAAGTCTTTAAAGTTGCTGCACTGCAATATTTCATCTTTTGAAGTGGCCCACAGCATGTGATTTATCCTAACAAAGCCATCCATGCAGTGGGATTCAGGTACACATCAGGATGCTCAGAGGATTATAGCATCAGCCACATCTTGCCATGAACCCGAGAGCCAAATAGAGTACAAACATCTAACAACAATTAATGACAGCTCTTCCATTAACATACAGCGTACTGGCTTGTTTTAGTGCATTGTATCAACAGCATCACCGAACCTCAGCTCCTGACGAGAGGGAAGCACCCAACAAACAGCCCAAGCTGAGGCCTGTGGGACAGGCTCTGTTATCCAGTCTGCCTCACTTCCCTATAAACAAAACACCTGAATTTCCTCAGGTGAAGGGAACGGACCAGTAACTTCCAGGTTCACAGCACGTTTCCTCCAGCTATTCGCCAAAAGTTACACCACGTTTTTAACATTTTGCTGCCATTAAGAAGTACGAAGCAACGACAAGGTAAGAAAACCTCCGTAATAACATATTTGCCCAACAGCAGTAGGTTTGCAGTACAGGCGATAATATTACTATCGGAAGGGCGGGGGGAAGGGAGGGAAGGGGCTAAGAGCACGAAGCCGCAGGGCCGCGGCAGGTGCGCGGAAGGCTGTGAGAGCCCGCGGCCCCCAGGCTGAGGCGGGCGTGTCACACTCCCCCCGCCGCCATCTTGGGCGCTCTCCAGCCCCCGCAGCGCCAGCAGCCCCGGGCGGCGCCCGCCCCGTCCCCTCGCTCGTCAGTTCCTGCGGGAGGAAGGGCAGGGCAGCCGGGGAGCCCCTTCGCGGCACAACCCGGGCCCTCCTGCCCTCCGCCCGCTCCTTACTCGCTGCCCCGGGCGCGCCGCGCAGCAGCCGCAGAGCCATGGCCGAGACGGAGCCGTGCGGGGCGGGCAGCGCCGCCGCGCAGGCGCCCAAGGCGGCGGCGGCTCCAGCGCGGGGCGGGCGGCGAGCGGGCCCCGGGCAGGGTTCCTGCCGCGGCCTCACACGGCCGGGCCCTGCGCTGCTCCCGGCTCCGGTAAGCAGAGGGAACGGCGGCTGGGAGCCATGGGCGCGATGGAAGCAGCTACAGCCTCACAGAGGTGCTCGAGAAATAGGCTGTAACTCTTCTCTCCCAGCGAAACGTGGAGCAAAGACGCCTTCTTTCTTCAATGCAGTGAAGAGTTTAGCGCTGCAAGAACCCGTTTTCCCCTCGATGTGTAATGCAGTCCAACTAGGGGGTTTTTGTGGTTTGTTTGGTTTGGGGTTTTTTTTGTTGTTTGTTTTCTAATAATAAAAATTGTACATTGTTCAAATAATACACAAAGGCTGCCAAGGACATGAAGGAACTCCGACTAACACCATAGTAATGTACAGACAGTGTTTGTGCTTTCAGATGGCATCTTTCCAGTTTCCGAGCTTAAGCAGTGAAGTTGCTTTTCACGCTCACTATAAACCTAACCCTGGGATAAGTAGCATGTTCATGGAGTGGCGCTCCAGTTAGTTAAGTACAGTTAATGTTTTGAATAGGGCAACTTTTGCTTTTTGGCACTCTTTAAACTTCTCCAGCTAACCTTGTTCTTAGATAAAACAGAATTCACTGTACACAGATACAAACCTGAAGAAGATAACTTGGAGATCTGAATCTAAAATAGCATTTTTTGTTCACATCTGAAAGCTTTAAGAAAGTAAGTCTTGGTAAATTAAAGAGCAGCAGCACTTCTGCAGTTTATTTGAGCTACATCTGGCAATGCCTACACACAGAGTAATTAAATTTAACAGACTGCCTTACAAGTGACATTTTCTCAACCAGCCTTTTATAACATGGTTAATTAGACATTTAGAGATTGAAAATAATGGAAACTTTTTTTTATTCTAACAGCAAGATGCTGGGCCTCTAGATCAGAGAGAATACAGATGAATGCAGAAAATAATGCTCTGCCTGAATGCAGCAAGGAGAAAACCTAAACAGATCTTGTCCAAGTTCAAGAACTTATTATTTATGTCTTCAGTACAATAAAAACATTAAATCCTTCCCTTAAAAAAACTTACAAGCTGCCTGCAGACACCAAGTAATAGTAACTCTGCTCCTAAAGCGCTTAACACAATATGTATGCATACATCATATGTACAAGCATACATGTCAAATTTCAAATGGTAAGAATGAAATAGCAAGATTTTTGAGGTACTGTTTATCCACCTAAAAATTAACTGTCTTCAAAAGCATATTTTTAATCTTTTTTGTATTGCTGTAAAAATTCACTTGTAACTCCTGAATTATTCATTTCTAGAACTGTTGGCTAAGGAGGTAATAAATCTTAACATTGGTAAAAACAACTGTAGCATACACTACAGGAATTTTCTACTTTGTGATTAAATGGACTGTTTTCTTGTTTTCCTTCCTCTGTTTACTGAACATTTATCTCTTGCTCTGCAGCTTCCTTTGCAAGATGACACAAACAGCATTGTATTTAGCTTTGCTGTTCTAAAAAATGGGGAATAAAAGACGTACAGCTAGCACAAAGCTTGCAGCAGGTCAGTTCAGATGAGCCAGATGTACTGGTCTTGGAGACTACCAGGAAAGCACCACAACCAGCACAGCCCTGGCCAGCCAGTATACTGATCCTGCATAAAAGCCTTCTCTGCCTCTGAGACCACATCAAGAACCTTGGTTATCTGAACACCACACTAATCAGGGCTAAGCAAATAAAACCAGCTTGGAAACAAGGTTTTTTCACGCTTACAGAGAAAGTTTTCCATCAATGTCAAATCTCTTGGCTCTGCTGCAAATCCTGGTGATTTCCAGTATAACATGAACTCTTTTTCCAAAGTAGTAGCAATGCCTGGATTTACAGTAACAGAAAGTTTAGTTTGTATCAAGGATTCAAACACAACCCAAGGAATTAATTTATATACACAACATGGAAATAGAGGTTCAGACACTCTATCATTTTATGCAGTGATCTCCTAATTATATCACTGAGAGCTTTTTAAAATAACAGCACCAGCCTACTCCTTCAGAGAACAAGAGACTGACAGTCAAAGGAATGTTAAGACCTCAGTTCTTACCTCTCATTCTGTAAGCAGCATAATTCTCTTTGAAGCAGCTGCAGGATACCTGCGTGAAGGAGAGGTCACTATCATGAAGGAAGATGAAGCCCTCATTCAAACAGAAGAGTGGTGAGACAGTGAGTAGCAGCACTTTAGATCTTCTACTGCATCAGATGACACTGACTTAGGTATACCCAGGTCTGTATTTAGGTCTAGGAAAGCGAAGGCAGACAACTGCACAACTGCAGGAGTAGGGAGAACATGCCATGCAACACATGCACAGTTGTCCAAAATATCCCAGCCTGCATGTGTTGTTCAGAGAGCAGCTGGAAGTGACCATTACAGTCTGCAAGTCAATACGAACCTCCTGTGCTTCAAGGACATGTTGGGGTCATCACGCCTCTCACTATGGTCAGACAGCACATTCCTTTGGGACTTTGGGAAGTCAAACAGCCCTCACAAAAGCTACAGTACTGAGAGGGCTACCAGACCACATATAGAGTAGGCAATAAAAATTAAGGAAGAGAGAATGAATTTACTGTTCTCTTAATTTGCCCTGTTCCTTGAGATACTTACATGCAAATATCACATGATGTCCTGCACCATCCATTTTCCTCAAAGAACAAACCTAATTCAAGCTGCTTTAAAGATGGGACCTACTGTTACCACCCCCACCCCCCAAAAAAAGGAAAAAAAAAAGAAAAAGAAAGAAAAAAAAGAAAGAAAAAAAAATTTAAAACGTGACTATTTCTGTCATACTTCTGCTTTTCTGATCACAAAAGCATGCTTTACATGTTCAGATTTCCAGAGACAGAAAGCAAGACAGACATTTTTCAATAGTGAGAGAACCATCTAAATGTTTCCTAAGAACACTTTAAAGTCTTAATTGTGAATCTAGGAATATTTTGTAACTTCAGCTCCCTTCAACAGCTAGTCAAAGTTTATCAGGTAGCCACATCCAATAGTATAGTTAAATAAAAGACAGTTGAGATACCAGAACATAATTTAAATATTTAGAGCTTAATAGCAACATCATAATACAAAATAAAAAATAACAACAGGCATTGTTATAGTGAGAATGTATTAAAGATACCTTTGTGTCATAAAGACTTTCCTAACACAACTCTAATGAAATACTCTGCAGTGTATACATTGCTGAACTGTAGATATTCAGATACTCATTTCACCATCTTGTAAGTTATAGGAAACCCCCCCCATATATTACAAAGACTATTATACAACATTACATATCAAATGCAAAATCACTTCATCTATAATTATAGACATTTCATGTATATATAATAATTCCAATTATTATTGCTATATTAATTTCAAAAGTACAAAATTATTAATTATATACAAAAAGCCTCCCCAGAATTTTGGTAATTAGCAGAACATTTCAGTTTCTTTAATTGCTTTCATTAGAGTAATTTGTTCATTTTATTAACACCAGATGCAATAACACAATCCTAAAAATAAACATGCATTATACAACAAATTTATATTTTTCAAAAAATGTCCATTACAATTAGTGTACAATTACTGAATGCACATATAACTCTTTCCCCCCAGCTTTAGTGAACTATTGTTTGAAACAGAGAAAAGGGAAGGAAGAGGAAACCAAACAATACTATTCAGCACCAGTAGAAAGTCAGATCTTTAACACTCCTGTATATCAAAAACATTTTATCTGTGTCACTAAACAGGTGAAATTTACAATAATCTCAATTGAAGATGTATTGATTTATATTTACAATACTTTATAGTCAATAAAACATTTTAACAATATTTAAAAATTGTTTAAATTCATAAAAGTATTGCAGAAATTTATAACATTTACTTATTTTAAGTATATACAAGGAAGTCCACATAAAATTGTCCATCTTCATCTGAAGAACTGACAGAGTAAGGAACCATCTTAATACAGTTTGCAAAACCCCAATTATTTGAAGGCAGATATCATTGAACATTCAAAAATCCTTAGTTGCCATTTTCTTCTGAAAACAAAAGTTCCAGTCATAAAATTTGAGTATGTAAACTAACATGTTTTTGAGATCAGCAGAAAATATATTCCCACAGGCATAACATTTTTAACAATGACAGTAATGATTTTGTAAAAAACTGTTAAGCTGTAGCAGATATAGTAATTTTCAAATATCCAGTATTTTAGCAGCTCATTGTGTTTCCAGTTAAACTTCCTACAGTGCTAAAATACGACAAGTGAACACGTAAGACATTGTTAGAATTTTAAAATCCAATTTATTTTTGGCATCTAAAGCCTCTTGTAAAATGTAGCCAAGTAACATCGACTTCTGTTGTCTGAAAGCCAATAACCAAACAAAAGTACACACTGTGCTTTAATCTCCAAATAATTAGGTACCCAAAATTAAGAAAAAGTAATAGAAAAGTAAAAAGAACAAAATAAAAAAATATTGCACAGTCACATTACCTAGAAAGTAAAGTTGATGTTAAAAAGCCCTAAGTGTGGATGATATAAATTATCTTCCATATAAAAAGTATAAATATCTCTTAAAATACAGCTGCAGCTATACTTTAACACCACACATTATCTGAATTCATCTGTTAATGAGGTAATAACCAAGTCTCTGACAATGCTTTTCTCTACTGAAAATATTTTAGGGCAGCAACAAGAAAGAATTTTTCTAAAAATATTTCTGAATCAAGAACAGCAATATGTGCAGCTCTCCCTATGAGAGAATCTGCTGTATTGGGTAATGCATTAATTACATTATAACGAACCAAATTACATTCCTTGTTTTGAAGAACTGGCAGAAGCAGGTTCTGGATCATTTCAGCATAAATTGGTCCTGTAGAGGAAAAGAAGAGTTGTACTGTGTGAATTGCCAGAAACAAACAATTCTTTGACCTTGAACTCAGAATGAAC